TTTTAGTAACCATGGCAACACCGTTCATCGAAATCAAAAAGCAATACATAGAATTATATATCTTAGTGTAGTGTACTTGTGTGCCAAGTCATATTGAAATCAGACGAAAACTGTAGGAGGAGCAGCATTTTGAAAAATTGTTTACAGACAGACAGACAGACGGACAACTTTCTATCGCATAAGCTCTTCTGATCTCTGACCGGTAGAGCTAAAAACTATCATATGGAAGTCAGGGCCACTTTTTTGTGTTCATTTCCAGAATCAGGGAGTGCCTGCCCCCCTCCCTCCCCCCCCCCTTTTCCTAACATAACATTTTACTATTAACTGTTAGTTAATAGTTAATAGATAATAGTTAAATCACGGTAATTTGGCAATGTATTGGGAGAATTTACTTTTGAAAAGGAAAGTTGCCCCCCCCCCCCCCCTTACACACATGCTAAAAATAGGATTTTAGACATTGAGCAAATTTTCCTTTTTTTTTTTTTACCCATCAAAGTTTTTCCAGGCAAGTTGTCCAGTCAGATTCCCCCCCCCCCTCCCCTCCAAAACTTTCAAAGACCATACTACATGCCTGACCAGCCCTGGTATAGCTGAATTAACTAAAACGTATTCTCGACTGAAGTAATAAATTCAATTATTTTAAAAAAGTTGAAATTCATGACAAGGCCGTAAGAACCAAAGGGACGCTGGCTGGGGCCATGTTCCCCCCCCCCCCCCAATAATTTTGATGGTATATACTATAGAAAACATAGCTACTTTACGCTTGGTGTGCCATCTCAATACTAACTTCTTGTGACTTTTCTTTTGCTCAAGTAATTTTTTGAGTGGTAGTGCCCCCCCCCCAAATTAAAATGTTTGATGGGCCCCCTGCACAAACTGAAATTGCTTCCTATGGGTCTTTATTAAACTGGTTATCTATCATAATCTGTTTGTAATGACACACGGGACATACCAAATTGTAAATGTAAATTGCTTTTTTGATTAATTCAACATGACTAACCGAACTTGGCCTTCGATCTAAGAGATGATCAAATAAGAGCCGATTTGAACACACTTTTATATAGTGGTGATATTAAGGTCAATTAATGAAAAAAAATCCTTTGGTTGTCAAGACCCCTAAACAAAGATATTTTAATGGGTCAACTATTTTTCCTGAAATGCAGACCTGCCTACCCTTTTTATTGCAAGGGTGTAATTTCAATACTCATTTTGTTGGAATTTCAGAGGTAACAGCGTAATTTTCTGTTTCCCTAATTTGATGTTTTGCAATGATACTATATTCTCAAAATAAATGTGTAATTGTACATCACTGAACAAAGCAAGCAAGAATGTTTCTTTTTCAAATGATTTATTGACACAAATTCCATATGTTGTAGAACTGGTATCCTAAATGGAGTCAAATCAAACTTATTTCAACTTACATGTTCATATAATGATTGGCTAATATCTAGCAAATCACATTATTCAGAGTTACATTTCCATGTTTATACAAATTGTACATTATTCCACTATGTCTTATTTTTTTTATTTTTACATTTCTTGTCTCTATGCTGTTCTAGGCAATGTGAAAATAAACAGAGTTGAAAATTTAACTGACTTAATTTACTTATTGCACTTATCATAAAATAGTTTTCTAATTTTCTATTTGGCATGCCACATGTTTAAGCCATATTATAACTACAAGGTATATCAATATGTATATTATTTTTACTGTGAAGAACAGAAACCCTCTATTAATTACTATTATTCAACTTCTCGTTTTCATCTAAGAACACCTTACTTTAACTCCCAAGTTAGCCTTTAATTAAGAAGTTTTTTAGGTAAAATATGTAAAAGCGTAAAATTGATTTTCATGGCGTAAGAGCCTAATTTTTTTTGGTGAAAACCGGCAGAATTACACCAAAAGCAGAAGGGTAGGCAGGTCTGGAAATGAATTGTCAGCATAAATAATATTGCTACCAAACATGTTTGTAAATTATTTTATTTCGTATGTAGCTTGTAACACGAGCTTTGATTGGTTACAAAGTCGGGTGTAAATTTCCTTACACCAAGCTTGAGCTGGGGGTAAAAAAACGTGACGTCACAATGCATAGTTTCTCTATGATACAAAGCATATAACATGACATCATGACATCATGATGCAATGTAGGACATGATAAGTGATTATCTTTAGCCTCAGGGTGTATGGCATAAAACCTGGGGTAAATACCCGTACATCCTTGATTGGACCTGGAAAACTAATATTACCATGTATACTGTCTATGAATTAAATCTAATTCATACATGTATCAGGTACAGCAAAATCATATCTGGTTCCCATAACTCATATCATGGGGGGTTTCCATTCCTAGCTATTGATCTAATGAAGAAAGAAGAACGTATATTGGAACACATATTTTACAATCCTTTAAGGTCATAATGACATAAATAAAAGACATCAAAATTGCTTGGCAACTTTGTGTATGTGGATCTTAGAAGCAACCGGTTAGTTTTGTGTGACGAAACTCACTGAATAAAAGTTTTAGCGTCTTTTCATTACTAATTTCAGCCCCAACAGTTCACAATGAGGCAATAACTTAATAAAAGAGGTCAAATCACATTCTTTTTGTCAAAAATAGTCAAAATACAAGAAAAAGAGCTCAACTTACCTCAGAAGCGAATGCAAAAAGTCCTTCCAATGCATAAAAAGAAGTCCTGATAACAACATCCTTTTCATATCATTTGGATATGAGTTGGAGCGATTGATGGCCATGTTAATATGACAAATACCTTTGGTGGGACAACATAAAAGTGCATACTTTGAAATAGTTTAAATAGAAATCTGCCATCTTGTAAAATGATTATACTACCAATTCTTGTTGAATTACTGGAATACCTCAGTTATAAGCCAAGTCTTAGAACTAAAAGTCACGAGTCCAACAACATTTTACTTCCGATTCATGTGACCTTGACTTTATTCAAAAAAATACCTAAGGTTTATTTCTTTTAAGGATACACCAAAGGCTTTTTTCAAGATTTTCAACAATTTTGAGATTTTTGGCTAAGAAAAAGAAGTTAATCACTGCTTTATAATGTATATAAATTTTTTGGTAATTATGAAATGGTTTTCTAATTATTTAACAATAATGAAACATAAACACTACCACATATTGAAGCTTCTGATTTGATCTGTGACTGCCTGCTCATGAAAGACGCAATAAATCACTGTGACCACTTGGGGAATTCTTCACTAGCCACACAGAGGTTATCAGTAATTAAACCACAGGGACTCTAGATTTAGAGAAGAAGATCTAACAGATCACTGATGACCATAAAATAGGAGGTGGAGCTTAGCTCTTGCCATTTTGCCGGGAAATCTTTCTGATTCAGAATTGAACCTATTTTACTTAATTAAAAGCATCTAAATACAGAAAAGAACCTCCCATTTTTGTGAATATGCATGGAAAATATGGCAAAGTGACAGGTATCCAAAGCTGAATCTCCAAGGTGTCATATATTCCTAGCTTTGGCAGATTTTGTTGTGTAATGGGTTTTTGCCCTCTACTGTAAAGTAAGATCAAACAGTTTGTGGTATTATTTCAAAGGATTCAGCTCCCTTATTTATTGACCATTATCTCTGAAAATTGGATGGGTTACTTCTCAAATGTGTGTTCACAAAACCGTATCTCAGATTTTTGACATCTAGCTTAGTTTTGGAATTATTGAGGGAAATGTTAAATTAGGCTAATAAATAGTTAACATTGAAGGACAAATGGCTGTAACTTTTGAATTAGGAGATTTATCAAAAATCTGAAATACAGTTTTTAAGTTCAATCTTTAATCTACCTAGAGGCAAAATTACCACTTTGAGGGGTTAAATACAAAAAAGTTGATTTATAAAATATTTATGCACTAAAATTTACATTACTATATAAATAATTTTTAAATAAGTTTTTAATTAAAGTTTAAATTAGGATAATTAAATAGTAAATTTAACAAGCTTTCAAATGATATATACTTTTACTATGTTATCTTTGATAACGAAAGAATTACATTCAAATTGAATTCTGGCATTTGGAAACATTTGGTGTATCCTTAACTTATATGTGAAAAAAGAAGGAAGATGTAGACCAGCTGAAAGAAATAAACAAAGGAATCATTGTCAAAGCAACACAGTGCAATTCCATTTGGCCCCAGTGATCCAGAATTTCACAAATCTGGTAAAAATATTCTTGCTCATTAAATCTTTGTTTGCGTCTGCATCCTAGATGCCTAAGAGCTGAGAAGAAGAATTAATGCATTTTCACAATATTATTAATGCCCTAACAGCCTAACCCCTGATCCAGGGACCACAAATTTAACAATTTTGGAAGAGGCATCATTGCTCATCATAACAATGCACTTAGTTTAACTGCTTAATACCCAAGAGCAAAGAAGATTTTCTAAGAATAAATGCATTTTCAGATCATATTTTTTTCTCTTTTATAAAACCGTATGTAACATTACTCAATAGAGCACCCACCTAAAACCAGAACTCCTGATCCCAGGGTTATGAATTTCAAAATTTTGGAAGAGGCACCCTTGCTTATCATAGCCATGCACTTAGTTTCCTTCATAATTAAAAGCTGAGGAGAAGATTTTCAAAAAATGTATGGAAATATTGACAAAAGTAGGGGGAAAAAATGTTATTTTATTAAAAAATTACCATTTTATTTACCATTGTTTAATGTTAGACTTGATCTAGTGTTTCACAAAAACAGATTTCTTTTGATTACACTTGCTTTTTAACAGCTTATCTAATTGATGATCTACAGAAGAAAAATGAATTTAGATCTCCAAGTTTGGCCTGAAGACTGAAGAGAGTGATCTAAATGTTGAGTTTAACCCTATATCTACATGTAATTATTGTCATTACACTGAGAGGTATCTATCAATTACCATTTCAAAAGCAGAACACCATTTGGTGATGCATTAAACCTATCCTGAGAAGCTACACTAATGGTGTCTAAAGAATTACAAACCTGATCTTTTCTAGTCCCTGGCATCTGTAAGACTTGTACAAACTCAATTTCCTCATCCATAATAAAGTCATATTCCTTCTGTTTACTTTTGGCCTTGGCATCTTTTGCCCCAAACCTGTTTTCAAGTCACAAGAACTATATATGTACAGTGCTGCTAATTTTTCTTTTCAACAAATTTAAAGAATCTTTCTAGCACACTTCATACACAGACGCACCATTTTTGTTAGACAGTCACTGTAAATGTAGTAATGTCTGCATGTGTGTTTGTGTGTGTGTGTGGGGAGGGGGGGGGGGGGTTGAGAATTTATAACCATGCACACAAATAGTTCTGAAAATATATAAAGGTCATACAATATGATTGACAAGTTTTGTTAATTCTTTATTTCTGCTAATATAACCCCAACACAAATGCTTTTAGTTACATGTAAATTGCAAAATTTTACCCCATAAAAATATCTGTATACAGCATTAGAATCATCTGCGTTTATAGGGTTAACCATTCCTCTGTTTACTTACATAGAATGTTACTTAAATAATAATGATTTTTTATCAGATGTGTAAATTATAATTAAAATGCAAAAAATTTAAGCATACCTTACAAAATTTGACAGAAATGACATCTTTACTTTGCACTTATAAGGAAATATTGTAGGCCTTTCAATTCCCGCTAGGATTTGATGTAAAGAACGATAACTTATCACAGAAGTTGTTTACAGTAGGTGCGAGATGACTTATTTTTGTTAAGTATGTCAATTTCTAGCATTTCCAAAGTACTTCTTCACTTTCAGCATTGACTTGTGTTTCAATAATTCACCAAAAATGGTAATCTGATTTTTCAAGTAGATACCAACATTTTACAATACTCTTTAATGAAATGTACCGCCCTTCTTAATTTAATCAAGATTAAACTTTTACATTTGTCCATTCTACTTCCTTCTTAATATAAAGAATACCTTAATTTTTTACTGCATTTAATTGTATAAATATATATCATTATAGAAGAAGCACATCAATGTGCACACAAAAAAAACATGACATATTTTCTTCTTCATAACAACTGTTTAAAGAAAGTTAAATCTTTTTTAAGGTCAGACGATACATTCCTCAAATATCTGTTATGTATATCTTCGTAATGTATGAAAAATATTCAAAATTTTAATTACATTCTTATTTCTAAACCAGTTTCTAATTGTCCTTTAAATATCCAAACACTAAATAAAGTGCCCCGCCACAGCATGATATGCCCGTCAAATATTGTTCAATTATCACAAACAGTTTAGAGTGCAAGAAATTCAAGTCAACCTTGATACAAGGATTTCCAAGATTTTTCCATTCCTTATAATATTTGTTTATACATTTCTTGTGGTGTTGGCATGAATTACAACAAATATCACATTATCAATCCTCAACTGGTTGTGTTAGAGCTTGACAAATGCCCATCTCTTCCCCCCCCCCCCCCCCCCACACACACACACACACAGTGACACACACACATCTTTCATATTTGTGAGACATGATGTTCTGAAATTTGTTAGTTGATATTTTCAAACAAGAGGCCCATGGTCCACATCGCTCACCTGAGCACATTGGCTAGAGAAAAAAGCAAAAATCAGTTTAGTATTGAAAAGTTTACGGGGGGGGGGGGGGGGGTTGATAACAAATGGCTTTGCTGTTCTTGAGTAGCAGATTTTTTTCCCATATATTCATTTGTAAAACTTTGATCCCCTATTGTGGCCCCACCCTACAGTACAGGCAACACAGATCCCGTATTAGACCCCATCCCCTCTGCGGTGTGTTAATCCTTTCCGCATTACATCGTCATGGGTTTTGATCGCGGTACTACCTGCGACCGTGTTTACACTGCGGCGGGGCCAGCTACCGTTTTTCTTCAGCTTAGAGTTGTTACCTGTAAAGTATTTTTGATTTTTAATCGCAACGAAAAAAAAGGGGGTAATTTATTAAAGATCATGGCCTACATTATAGCATGAGTACCATTAAATGAATTTTTGATTTAATCTTAAGTAATAACAAATTGTATAATAATTATTTATTTCATATGTTTTTTATCAATAGTCACTCAAAATTAGTTATTTCTCCAATTAAAAAAAAAAGCATATATAGCTAGTGCTTGCAGTAAAATTGGATGAAATATCGTCTGCTCATTTACCATATATATTTATTTAAAATCAATAATTCCAACATAAATTACCTTGAAATTTCTAAATAATCCACCTTATAACAGTAGCATTAGATTTTTTTAATGCCATCATTTCCTAATGCATTAAAATGCAGGGTCCACGATTAGCCCGTGCAGTTGCGTTCTCAGTTACATGTAGCTAATGGGTTTATTTTTCTGCGAGATTCGATCACAGTCTTTGGTTTCTTTAAAAAAAAATATGCCTTTGTATATATATATATATATTGGATATTATTAGAATGAAAAACGATGATAGAGATGTTAACAGTATTAAACACGTGTACATTTAGGAATATGTTGCACCATTAACCAGTTAACTGCTAATATTATGCGCTAAACATGTAAGACTGTAAATTAAAATAATATCAATATATCATTTTTTTTTATTGTTTTTATTGTTGTTTACAAAATCATAACATCCTATCTATTCAGGATAATTTCATAGCTAGTTTTTCCATTTTCTTTCTTTTTGAAATTAATATGATCATGCTCATCAGTATTTTGACGCATCGTCAAATCGGAAAGACCCTCTTTTATCAGGTCTAGGCGGCCTCTGTTTTTGGAGGATAGATTTTATCCTCTGAAAACAGAGGATAGCGGTCTTGCCACCTACCAGAATTTTCAAAACTAAGGGCAGTTAACTCTAAACCAAACAAATAACAGCAACTCTTGCATTTATGAACCGTACGCTGATTTCGAAATCAGAACAAATAAAAGGTACAATTTCCTATGATGATGGATAATTCCAGATATTAAATCAGTATATCTATATTTTTATAATTGCCGTCAATCAGTTATTCGGTATACAGCTTGCTTTCACCTGCCTGCGACTGGGGTTAATTATAACCATGCACGCTGATTTTCCAGAACCGTAATTATGTGATAAGCAGTTTAGAAATTTTGATGAACAATTTTTTTTTGAAAAATTAAGTTTAATCATGTATTATTTCTTTCATTTAATATTTCTTTAGCACATCACTTTTAATATTTTATTTGTTTATGTATATACATGGCTGTATGAATATATGTTAATTTCTTAGTAAACGTCAAATTATTTATTTTATTTACTTATGCTATTCAAATTATTTATTTATTTTTACAATTATCCATTCAATCCACTTATACTTTTATTTGCTTAAATTATAAGGCAGAGTATATTTTGCGTTTTAAATACGCTTAAAATGGGTTTCATTTTGTGTTTCCTTTTTTGAATTAAAAGAAAATATAAAAGAAATATTAAAGTCCTCTTTTATTTGTATAAATAGAGAAAAATCATAAAAAATAAAACAAAATAACAAGAAATATTCAGTAATAATGGGGCGCAAAAAGTGCTAACTTTGAAAATAAATTGCAAAATATCTAGACATAGAATCTCAAATCGCCACATACAATCGATAGTTCAATGTTTGAACTTTTATTTGCATGTACTCTGGTGCTTGCACTTTTGATTAAAGGTAGGCACGAGGTGTTTGAAAATTACCTGTGTTATCCTCTGAAATCGGAGGATAAACTATCCCACAATGCAACGGGGTTTCCATATATGGTAAAAATTTTGGCCGCCATATTGAATTTAGCTATCCTCCAAAAACGGAGGCTGCCCAGACCTGTTTATCAGCTGATTTGGGGCCCTAATATAATTTGAACATACAACACACAAGTAAACATTTATTATTTTCAGAGACAAAATGTGTCATAGCGATAGGCTACGAATTTTCAGGTGTCTGTGTAACTGGCCAATACCCCAACGAGATACCTGTAATACCTTCAGATTGCATAATCTTACATCGTGAAGCAATACTGGTGATCTAATAAATGTCTTGGAAGCAGTTAGTTTAGTAAAATAGTGTCTGTGGCCGTCACTATTTCGGTGTTTTTCAGAAACTCGATCGTAGAATTAGTCAAAGTCCACAACTGGACAATAAACTGATAAATCGGCTACAGTATATTATCTGTTCACAGAAACGACATATTGAAACTGAAAAAAAAATAATCCAGAAGCAATTCATTTCATTGAAATTTCTTTCATGAATATTTTGTTATAATCGATGGACTCGATAAATCAATAAACTGACTGAAGGAAAAACGATGCAGGTGCCGTAACATTCTGTAAGTTTTTTTTTTTATTTTACATTCTACTTGCATAATACATGTACATGCACATGTACATATATATTAAACAGAAACATAAATACCAAGCCCGTCGGCATTTAAAAAAAATAGTAATAAAACATAATTTGATTTATTTTATTTCATTTAAACTCTATTAATTTGTTTTAAAAGTATTATTTATATTTTTCCTTTTAATATACACTCAGCGTAAAAAAAAAAAATAGCAAGTATATATTGACTCGCATAACTTTCATGGTTGTAGTTTCATTTGAAAATGAAGAAATAATGAAACATTAAATGGACTGGTGTGTTGTATGGCTAGACAACGCCTTGCACATGCAGAGAAATTTACCCCAGGTACTCTAGGACAGGTGTGAAACCCTCAGGGCTTGCCGTTTCCTGCTCTTGCTCTGCTAATCCCTATACACAGGAAATGATCACAACTAATACTTAATATACAAAGAAACAGAATATATCCAAGTAAACTTGGCATTTGATTTTTTATCTTGAGTATTATTGAGAATAATAAGTTTTAGTGATATACCCCCCCCCCCCCCCTCCGTTTTAATTGTTTTGTGAAGTTCATCACCATGCACATTCCATCTTCTGTAATTGGAGAAATGATTATATTAAAAACAAACTACTGTTTACAAAAGAAGTAAATATCGAGGGGAAAAAATTGTTATATTTTAATGATATCTTTTATAACGTTCACGCGCCCACTCACGGCAAACGCTCACCATCAAATATTACAGCTTTCCGGTCATTCGACAATTTCAGGGAAATGCTTGCACATTAATACAGTAAAG